GTCTTCTTTTGTTGTAGCTCGGTGCAGTAGTATTTATCTTCCTGTTCTAGATGAGGAAACAGATGCAGAGAGGTTGGAGGATTTACCGAGGACACAGATATATGACGGAGCAGGGGTGTAAACTACCTCTTAGTGTTCGGATACCAAATCCTGTGCCTTTGAAATTCTCAACTTCCTGCAAAGTAGAGGATACTGAGGCCAAAGAAGTTAGTATTCACTTCTAAAATAAGTAGATTTAAACTATGGCGGTGTAATTGTGCAGGCTCAGTACCTGTGTTTTAGCTTTTGAAAGAAGGCTTTCTTCTCTAGACTGGGTTGTTGGCTCCTAGTCTCATCGCCAAGAACTCTCTTAATGTTTTCATTCTATAGGGTACCCAAGCTTAAATTTTTTTTTTTGGCCTGTTAAACAGCATTTATTTGTCAAACTTGTTTTATTAAGTATTTTTTTAGAGAGTGAGAGCATGAGCAGAGGGAGGAGCAGAGGGAGAGGGAGGAGCAGACTCCCTGCAGAGCAGGGAGCCCGATGCAGGACTTGATCTCAGGACCGTGGGATCATGACCTGAGTCAAAGGCAGAAACTTAACAGACTGAGCCACCCAGGAGCCCCTTTTATTAATTATTTTTTTCACCCTTTTTAAAGTAGGCTCCACAGCTAGCGTGAAGCCCACGGCGGGGCCTGAACTCAATGACCCTGAGATCAAGACCTAAGCTGAGACCAAGAGTTGGACGTTCAACTGACTGAGCCACCCAGGCGCCCCATTAATTAGTGCTTTTAATCAATGTGTAATCATGTTGACATAGTGCTTTTAATCGACAATGTAATCAGCATGATAGAGTATCAGCCAAAAGCAAAGTAACATTGTTTCAGTCAGCCTGTACGACCTGCTTTATGTGATAAAATGTGTAATTTCAGTTACTGAAATATTTGAAGTTTTTGCATACCCTTAGAAGTCTAGGGGACCCCTCCCCACCCCTGATTAAGAACAGTTGTCATAGATCTTTTTTTTTTTTTAATGTTTTATTTATTTATTTGACAGAGAGAGAGACAGCAAGGAGGGAACACAAGCAGGGGGAGTGGGAGAGGGAGAAGCAGGCTTCCCGCTGAGCAGGGAGCCCAACGCGGGGCTCGATCCCAGGACCCTGAGACCATGACCTGAGCCGAAGGCAGACGCTTAACGACCGAGCCACCCAGGCGCCCCAACAGTTGTCATAGATCTTGATGAGTAGGATGTAGAAAGCTGTTCACAGTAAAGATGATGCTTTTTGTCATCCTCCCAGCATGTTTTCCTCCTGATTCTCTGTGAGGAGCACTGTATCCTGTGAGAATAACTGGTCCTATTAATTGATAGCTCTGTACTACTGCATGCCTGTCATGCTCCCAGATACTCCCCCACTGGATTTGAGGGTTTCAAAGAGAAAATGCCATCTCGTCCCGGTCTTGGAGAAGCTTATGCTTAGTGTAAGAGGCAGATAGTGTCTCTGAGTGTAGTGGGACCACAGAGGAGGGGGTGACATGAGAGATGGTGGCTAGAGAAACCTCAGCATGGGAGGTCATTCGAGGTCATCTGCTGATTACAGGCTAGGCTGTGGAATCCCTGGGTTTCGTGTTGGATCTCAGTTCTGCTGTTGGAGAATTACATGATTCAGGCAAGTTAAATTCCTTCTAAACTATATTTCACCTGTAAAATGAGGCTAATACCTGCCACCTACGGTTGTAAAGATTGACAGCGTAAAGGACTTGGCAGTGCAGTGTCTGTAGGTACATAATAGCTGCTCATTAAATCAAAGCTGTGTTGTTACTGGCGTTCCTACTGCTGCAGCTGTGACCCTTACTTTGCTGGGCTGGTCGGGTTAGCTAGATAAAGGGCACAGGGGAAACCACGTTCTAGAAATGGGAAAGACTATAGGGAGAGACATGGTGACCAAAGACCGTATTTGGGGAATAAGATAACTGCCTTACAGATTATATTGAGATTAAAATACACGTGAAGCACATAAACATGCAAAAGTATAGTCCCTGTCACGTCCCTTTTCAGATGCAAAAAATAAAAAACAACATACAGTCCTTATTTTTTAATTCCTCATTACCCCCTGTATAATTCCTTCCTTTTTGAAACATCTTCGTTTTTTTGTTTTTAAAGATTTATTTGTCAGAGAGAGAGAATGAGCAGGGGGAGCGGCAGGCAAAGGGAGAAGCAGGCTCCCCGCTGAGCAGGGAGCCCAATGCGGGACTCGATCCCAGGACCCTGGGATCCTGACCTGAGCCAAAGGCAGACACTTAAACGACTGAGCCACCCAGGCCTCTTGAAACATCCTGGTTCTTTTGTGCATCTTTGTATCTCTTGTTTTCTTCCCTACTTCTTGATGTCTTACTTTGAGCGCATCCCTCAGAGTTTAGTTGTCTGTTGTCACTTTTCTGTTGGAGAGGTTAGATGCTCTTCTGGCTTCCTCTGCCACTGTTAACAAAGCACTTTTAACTTCATCAGTTGCCCTGACCTCTTTCCTAGGTCCCTCTGAATTGGATCTAACTGGTCTCCTAAAATTTCAACCTGATCCATAATTGTTTCATTTGTTTGATTTCTGAAAAAATTAGAAGGGAAATGATCTAGATTAGTCAGATGTTTACATTGCTAAGGAGTGATACTTAAGAAAACAAACTCGCCATGTACTACATTTCATACTGGAAAGGACATTTTAAAAGTTTAGAAAGGCCATAATATTAGAATTTAAGAATATGTAGCTTTAAAAATTATGTAGTGAGGACTTCATTATTTTTCTTTTTGCCTCAGACTAATGAAAACATAGTCATACACTGCTTTGGAGTCAGTCAACCTTGTACTGTATTGATACTGATATGCCTAAAATTTGTGATCCTATTTTTCATGCTTAGAATGGTTCACCACTGCCTAGCTGAAAAAAAATCCTCCTTTCTTAGACCTTTATAGTTTAACTCTGGCTCTCCTTTCTAGTCTTTGCCCTTATCCCATTTCTCTGTTACCAACTTAAAAAAAATTCAGAGGTAATGGTGTTTGTCGTTTGGATCTGACCCAGGTTCAAATCTGGCCCTGTGTGGTCTTGGGCAAGTTACTGTCAAGAGCAGAAGAGCAGCCCTTGGCATCCTGGAGCCGTGCTGGTACCATCAGCTGGCCTTGATGTTGTGAACTAGCCTGGCACTTAACGCCTGGGTCTTCCTGGTGTTCTTGTGTTGAGCATAAACAATTTCACTGAATATCAGCATCCGACAAGGCTCCACTGTGACCAGAATAGACGAAGACAAAAATAAGAACATGCCATAGTCATGTCTTGACCTGGACAAAACATGAACATTGTCCAAGTCACAAAATAGCCAACATCCCTCTCTCCAGGCTGTAATGTGAATGATTATTGCTGTTCTACTGGTTACAGCTTTAGCCTCCCTAAAGAGATTTGTTGATATACCCAGTCATAGAATTGTTCCCACTTTCTGACAGTACCCAACTAGAGTGAACCCCTTCTTTGAACTCTTCCAAAAAATCACCTAGCCAATTCCCAAATCCTAAGTAAGTCATTTTTGATATTCTGAGATTCCCCATAGTTTCCCTTGGTGTGTGTTCTTAATAAATTCAACTTGTTCAACTATAGATATGTTCCTGGTGTGTGGGCAGAGGGCATTGACAGTACAGTTTGAGCCTTTTTTTAATATATGATCTGCGATTAATAACATCTTTTTTGCAGAGTTAATGAAGATTAGCTGAGAAAATGTAAAGCATGCAGTGGAGTCCTCTAACTTTTAGCTACTCAACAAAAGCTTGTTTCTTGTCCCCTACTAAAGTAGTCTGATTAGTCATGGTCCCCCGACAGGGCTTGGAAGGACCTTGTTTTAACCCTGTCTCATGTGTGGAGTGGTCTGTTCTCATCCTTCCGGACTCAGTTCAAATACCTTCTTTTCTATGAAACCTTTGCCTCTCTTCATGAGCTCTTTTATCTCTGAACTTCAGGTATTGTTTTTACCATTGACTTGACTGTTAATTCTACCCTACTTTGTAGCATCTTTGTACTTACCTTCTATTATCTAATTATTTTTTTTAAAGATTTATTTATTTATTGGAGGGGGGAGAAAGAGAGACTCAAGCAGACTTCCTGTTGAGCATGGAGCCCGATTTGGCGCTCAGTCTCATGACTCTGAGATCATGACCTGAGCCGAAACCAAGAGTTGGATGCTCAAACAACTGTGCCACCCAGGCGCCCCCTGTTATTTAATTCTGAATTTTTCATATACTTATGCCTTGTTCAACTAAATTGTTCTTTTAGGATGGGGGCTTTGTTTAAATAAGGACCTTTGAAACCAATTGTTTTATAAGGACTAATTTCTTTGAATTTGTTATAGTATATTGTACTCAGAAAATGCTTAAACATGATTAAAGTAAAACAAAAGAGGGTATGTTTTTCACCTCCCCTAAATATGGTGATATTGTGACATTTGCCTAAGTCAGATACTTCAGAGTGAAGGGGTGCAAAATATGCCACCCAAAAATGTAGTTTGGCATATTGATTATTTTGAATCAAGGTTACTTAAGAACATCCAGTGCAGGGAGGACCCTCTGAGCCTCCTTTGTCTTCCTGAAAACAGGAAGTAAATCTCCCATGTGAAACATACCATCCCTGTACCAGGAGCGTAGAAGACATCCCTATCACCAGACATAAGGAATTTAGGGCTGAGAAGGCTGGCTTTAACAAACCTTGTTACTTCTTCAGTGATTTACTACCCCAACTCCAAATCCCTTTGTTTTAGCAATTCTTCACACGTTTATTGTTTCTTTGTCTGAAAAGATACAGCGTTGCCTGCTTTGGTCCCATATTTTTATGGGCTCCCCTACATAGGAAATTAAATGTGTTTTTCTCCAGTTAATCCGTCTTATGTCAGTATGATTATCAGACCAGCCCAGAAACCTATGAAGGGAAGAAAGGAAAAGTTTTCCTCTCCCACAAAAGCTTTTTATGTCTTCCTTCCTAGATAATACGATGGTGGGCGAAGAGAAGATGTCTCTAAGAAAACGGCTGTCAAAGTCCAGGGAGAATTTGGAGGAAAACCAAGACCAGAGAAGCCCTTCAAAGGAGTCCCTAGAGACACCTAGTAATGGTGAGGCTTTTAATTTTTTTTTTTTCAGCTATTTAAGTTTATTAACCTTAGTAAATATGTAGGATGTGGAGTAATTTTTATAGTGAAGATTGCGGAGGACACTGCGGAGGACATGCTTCACTACTGTGGACTCGGGGACCTTGCTGGCAGGGGATGACTTCTTATCTGCTGCCTTGATAACTCCAAGGACCGCTGTTTGTGTCATGTCCTGCACAGCAAAATGGCCTAGGCATGGGTACTCAGAGTAAGGTTTCCACACACACGGCCTTGCTGGGGGCCGTCTGCACAGGGACCACCTCACCAGGCCTCAGGGCTCTGGGTTGTCCTCCAGCCTCTTGGCCGAGTGCTGGTCAGTGTTTTCCCTCCGTTCAGGGGATGTGAGCTGTGTGGCAGTCCAGCACTGGGGCATAGCCAGTGTGGGTCTGCCTGGGGTGGTTGAGGACCATCACCTGTGCCATAGCCCGGCCAGCCTCCGCAGTCGTTCCTGCTGTTTCCGGCCACTTCTCGGACACATGCTTCATGTCGGAGCCCACATTGTCAACCAGGCAGGGCCTCTGACAGGCCTCGTGGGGCATCGCCACAGACTTGAGCTCAGGTGACATTGGTGGGGGCAAAGGTGACACCATCCCAGGTTTCAGGAAGCCGGTCTCCACCCGGCCCACGGGCACAGTCAGTGCCCCCGATCTTGTACACATGGTGAAGAGGCAGCCTCAGGGGCTTGTCGACTGGGTGGGAGGGTAGAGTCCAGAGACTTCCAGCAGAGTCACCCTGGTGACGTTTCATTTGTCCTCTTGACCTTCCAGCCAGGGCACATTGTTGCTGTGCCAGCCTGAGATGGGCACAAAGGCCACGGTGGCCAGGTTGTAGCCGATCTTCTTCAGGCAGTTGCTCACTTCCTAGTGATCTGGAAGCACATGGCGCTAGAGGTAGGCTCGGCAACATCGCTGTTGTTGACGGCTGCCATGAGCTGCAAGCTGCTTCAGGCCCAGCATGTAGGCCGCAGTGCATGTTCACAGGTCTGGCTTTCTCAGAGATGCCAGCTTCGAACTTGAGCATGCTGCCGCCATGATGAGCACGGCACAGTTGGCCTCGGATGTCCAGTGGTCACATTCTTAATGAAGTCCCCGGGGCCTGGGGCATTGATGATGGCGATGGCATGGTGGCTAGTCTGACTTCCATAGGGAGATGGGAGTGGTGATGCCACACTGTCCCTCCACCTTCGGCTTGTCCCGCACCTGGGCATATTTGAAGGAGCCCTTGCTTATCACTCCTGCCTCCTCCTTGAACGTCTCAGTGGTTCTTTCATCAGTGCTCCCCAGCTTGTAGATGAGCTAGATGCCTGGCGGGGGTGGACTTGCCAGAGTCCAGGTGGCTAAGGACGACGATATTGATAGGGTCTTTGCCCATGCGATAGGTTCATTAGTCAGTGCTCTAAAGAAAAGTAAGAGCTACAGCAGCTGTGAGACTTGTAATATTTTTTTTTTTAAGATGTTATTTATTTATTTGACAGAGAGAGACACAGTGAGAGAGGGAACACAAGCAGGGGACCGGGAGAGGGAGAAGCAGACTTCCCGCAGAGCAGGGAGCCTGATGCAGGACTTGATCCCAGGACCCTGAGATCATGACCTGAGCTGAAGGCAGACGCTTAACGACTGAGCCACCCAGGCGCCCCGAGACTTGTAATATTTTTTTTTTGAGGCGACTTAATGCAATAATAAATGCAGTGTTTTATATATAATTTTTTTTTAATTTTATTATGTTAGTCACCATACATTACATCATTAGTTTTTTGTTTTTTTTTTATTTTATTATGTTGTGTTAATCACTATACATTACATCATTAGTTTTTGATGTAGTGTTCCATAATTCATTGTTGGTGGTTCCACTGGGGATCGAACCCAAGACCTGCGTGTAAAGCAGAGGTGATAACCACTACACTATGGAACCACTCAAATGCAGTGTTTTAGAGCAGGGACTGCCATCTCTTTATTGTAAGTGCATATGCTGGTAGTGTGAGGGTACAGAGGTGAAAAATAAATTGATAAGGAGAATAGAAAGGAACATTTTGATTTAAGTGCTGGTCACAGCCGCATTATACCGGTGACACTGGTGTGTAAATTGCTGCACATGTTGGAGGTGAGCTTTATTGATGTAAGTGGAATTTGCAGTGTCTACTTCAGGATTTATATTACTTAGAGTTTCCTGTATCTGGTAACAAAGAAATGAGAAAATAAGCCCTTTCTTGTTAATGAATCAGTGAATATTATGTATTGTGTTTTAGACACCATCCATTTATTTATTCCTTCAACCACCTAACCTATCAATAAGTATTGGTGCCCTGCTAGGCACTGGGGCTGCCGCAGTGATCAGTACGTGTGTGTTTGCCCTCATGGAGTTCTGTGTTAAGTGAATGAGAATCCCTCCCCCAAATAACGTAATTAGATTATTACAAATAAGTGCTACTAATTACTCCTGATAGACGTAATGAGCATAGTGAGGCTAATTAGCAGGGTACCTAACTTAGTTCAGTACAGGGCTATAAATCTTGGGGGAGGGAGAGATTAGGGAGTTCTCTTAGTTCTATCCAAGTTTGCTTAACACACAGATACAAAGAGTACGACACAGTGCTTGATGTTTAAGGTCAAGGCTTAATGCTTAAGATTGATAAACCTGTAAACACAACTCCAGCTGATGTCATCTGTTGCATCAGCCTATTTATTTTTGCAATGACATTTGTATAGGTTTGATTTCAAGAAGGATTTGAAATTTGAGCCTTGTTCGGTTAACAAATAGGGATGGAACTTTCTGACACAGGTTGTCTTTGGCATCATGAGATTTCTTTCGTAGAGAAACGTTCTTTTGCTTTTCCTCTTTAAATCTAATTGTAAATACAGCAGCTATATATAGGAATATAAATGTTGCTGCTTATTTTTGCATGATGAAGTTTATCGATTGTTAGGTTCCTCATTAGCTATTTATGAAATATTTGTGTATTTTAATGTGATATAAAATGTGAAATTTTTTTTGAAGATTTTATTATTTGAGAGAGCGAGAGAATGAGAGAGAGCATGAGAGGGGGGAGGGTCAGAGGGAGAAGCAGACTCCCTGCCGAGCAGGGAGCCCGATGTGGGACTTGATCCTGGGAATCCAGGATTATGACCTGAGCCGAAGGCAGTTGCTTAACCAACTGAGCCATGAGCCACCCAGGCGCCCTAAAATGTGAAATTTATACACAAGGGTGAGTCAGCATTGAGTAGAAACCTTCCCCTTCTGTGATCCTGGGATGGGGTGATAATCCATGTTGTCAGTCTTGGAGACAGAAAAATCCCTTTTTATTTGAAACTTTCTGTCGCCAGATACGATTTTTCTCTTCATGTTCCAATTTGTAAAAAGCTTTTAAATTACTCTAATTTCTGCATATTTTCAGTACTTCTTACTGTCTTAGTTAATATAAGTTTTAAACATTCCATGTTCTAATGCAGATATTAAAAATTGAATTGTTTAGCTTAAATCAAGTATTACCTCCTTGGTTGTAATGCTGATCAGAAAATACAATGTGTTTCTCCACTTGATTTAACATTTGTTCACTTTGGTAAAGAAGCGGATGGGTAAAATGTGGCCTTTGCGAGTAAGCCAGGCCAATCAACGTGGACTAGGGTCATCTGCACCACTGGGAACTTATTAGAAATGCCTCACCTCACCTTTACTGAATAAGGTTTTATTTTAATAAGCTTTCCAGGTGATATGTAGGTTCAAGTCTGAGGCACAGTTCTCAAATGGTGTGTGCATTGGAGTCCTCCAGAAGAGTGGAGCCAATAGGATATATATAGATACAGAGAAAGATTTATTATGAGGTATTCTTTTTTTTTTTAAGATTTTATTTATTTATTTGACAGAGAGATAGAGAACACAAGTAGGCAGAGAGGCAGGCAGAGGGAGAGGGAGAAGCAGACTCCCTGCTGAGCAGGGAGCCCGACGTGGGACTCGATCCCAGGACCCTGGGATCATGACCTGAGCCAAAGGCAGATGCTTAACCGACTGAGCCACCCAGGTGCCCCTATTATGAGGTATTCTATCAAGTGGAGGCTGAGAAGTCCCACAATCTTCCGTCTACAGGCAGGAGTCCCAGGGAAGCCAGTGTGTAGTACCAGTCCAAATCCAAAGTCTTCAGAGGCCTGACAGCCAGGGGCCAACGGCGTAGTCCCACTCTGAGGCCTGAGAACCAGGGAAGGAGAAGACGGATGTGCCAGTTTAATCTGGAGCACAAATTTGCCCTTCGTCTGCCCTTTGTTCTACTCAGGCCCTCCAGCACTGGGGAGGGGAATCTTACTCAGTCTGATTCAAATGCTTATCTCTTCTGGAAACACCCTCACACCTAGAAATAATCAGCTATCTGGGCATTCCTTAGCCCAGTCAAGTTGACACATAAAATTAACTTGTAGAATGAAAAGAAATCATTCAACAAAAGCAGCTTATTAGACCCCATTATAGATCTACTCAATCAGAATCTCAAGGAAAGGGTCCCAGGAATGTTAGGTTTGAAAGTTTGCTGGATAATATTGACTGGTGTCACCAGTTGAGACCCACTGTTATCAAGAACTCACACCTAACTGTCTTGTAATACATCATTTTGACATTGCTCTAAAGATTTATTTATTACCCTCAACTTGGTGTAAATTCTTGAATTCTTTTTTTTTTATTATTATGTTATGTTAATCACCATACATTACATCATTAGATCTTGATGTAGTGTTCCATGATTCATTGTTTGCGTATAACACCCAGTGCTCCATGCAGAATGTGCCCTCTTTAATACCCATCACCAGGCTAGCCCCTCCCCCCACCCCCCTCCCCTCTAGAACCCTCATTTTGTTTTTCAGAGTCCATAGTCTCTCATGGTTCGTCTCCCCTCTTGAATTCTTACTCTGCAGTTCAGAATTCTAGTAAGCTATGGATGTGATGACTTTTATGCCCTAATTTGCTCAGTTTAGTCTCACAGGTTACCTGTGTCCAGCCTAATTCTTTATATAGTGCCCCCTTGTATTTTCAGAGGTGAACCAGTTTGATAAAGTGTCACCCAACTTTTGGGTTATTGAATTAATACTGACCATTACTGTGACTTTGTAGTATTCACATTTTCACAAAATTATCTTTAGTTTATTCAGGGCCTATTAGGTGAAATTATGATTAATTAGCTTTCTTGTATTTTGTGGCATTTGTTTGAAATACCAGTTCTGAAGATAACAACTTTCTGTCTAAATTGAAAAAATGTTAACATTACCTAATTTTAAAAAGTAATACATCATCTAAAAAAAATTGTTATTGTGTCATCATGTACCTGCAGTTAAAGTGTTCAGTTCAAATATACGGAAAAGGATAAATAAGAAAGCAGAAGTGACTCAAAATTCTGTCATGGAAAAATGAGTATGTGTTATCAAAAACTAATGATGTAATGTATGGTGATTAACATAACAATAAAAAATTGAAAAAAAATGAGTATGTGTTGTCCAGACATTTCATTCCCATACATTATTAATGTCTTACATAAATAGAATAGTAAGTTGCTTAGTGACTGGGATTCCAAGTACCCCATGATAGACCTCTTTCCATTGTCAAGTAGTAGATGAGTGGCTACAAAGTATTTTATATGTGTTATGTTTACTTGTTTCCCCGATGAATATTTTTTTCTGCTATAAACAAATGGTAATGAACATTTTTACTATTCCTCAGATGCCTAAGGTAGAATTGCAGTGTCAAAGTTGTTATTTAAAAAAAAATATTTTGAGGGCGCCTGGGTGGCTCGGTTGGTTAAGCGACTGCCTTCGGCTCAGGTCATGATCCCGGAGTTCCGGGATCGAGTCCCACATCGGGCTCCCTGCTTAGCAGGGAGTCTGCTTCTCCCTCCCTCTGACCCTCCCCCGTCTTGTGCTCTCTCTCTCTCTCTCATTCTTCTCTCAAATAAATAAATAAAATCTTAAAGAAAAATATTTTG